ATTTTCTTTATCTTAAAATAAATAAAAAAGGAAAAATCAGAGAAAATCAGGGAATTTCGAGGGAATCTTTTTTACAAGATTTGAATATGCAAACATCTTCTAAAAGAGTCTCTAATTTCGAGTACACTCATCGTATTCAAGTGACGAAACGTTTAGGAGAACAGAATCAAAGACACCTAGCGATAAAATGAAATCCATCCTAGAACGGTCCGAAGCGGATCCAAGCGGTTCCAAGGCACTAGTTTACGTCGCACGGCAGAGGAAAAAAAACCGTGTGAGGTAATCGATGCGTGCTATGTATACCGACACGTGCGTGTGCAGCCACCGCGCTCAATTGACGCTCGCGCTAATTTTAGAGCGCACCGCGGCGCCGCGCGCGAGCGAGATTAATCCCGTAGACGCGGTGAATTAAGGCCGATCCGTATCTTAAGGGCAGACACCGAGTTCGGTATGAAGGGCACGACGAGACTGCGCGCGCGCGGGAAAGCCAACGATCTAATTAAGCGGCTGTGCAATTAGATTTTGCCCCGCGGATGTCCCAGTTTAACACATCGCTATCGTACGTACTATGCGATACGACGAGCAGCGAGGAAGAAGTTGCGAAACCTACATTGTACTTCGTACTTTGAAATTTTCCCATCAATCGTGACTGGGTATCGTTAATTGCTAATTTCGAACAGGTTCTTCTGTTATCAATCAACCGTCGTCCGATTTGACATTCTCATTATTTAGTACCGACTATGTTATTTAGTTTTGATTAAATTTTCATTTGCCGAATAACTGATGTTTGGAGAAGAGAATGAAATATACCAAGCTGATCCCAGCTTTGATTCGGAAATTTTTATTTTTCTCTTTTATTTAACGTCGTATTTTCGTTTCTTTATTTTTATCCATTATTAAGAAAATCCACTATTAAGAAAATGTTCGTATTAATCGCGGAAACATCAATCGCGAACCGGTTTCGTATGATCGGTATTTAATTAGCACATTCTCGTTATTTATTTACTAGCTAACCGGTTGTCTCCAATCAGGTTGTAACTAATCATCGGGAAAGAATCTATGTATGATAATTCTGGATTTAACTTTAAGAGTTTCGTTTATCTCGACTACTAATTACTCAATTAAATAAAATGCATTAATGGTAATTAGAAGTATCGAACTGGTTTCTCAATACATGGTAAATAATTAAATCGACATTCTCATTAATTCCATTTATCAGCTACAGTTTTTAGTTTTGCATATGTTATGTAATTATTTCCAATAAAATAATTTGCACGATATATGTTTTTACACTCAACCATCTTTAAAATTTTTTATTGGCCAATTAAACAATTAAAAATATTTCAATATGAAATCCTCTCAGACCTATAAAAATTATAGCATATTCAGACATATGTTGACTACGAAAATCCTGAAATATATGAAAGAAGTAGTGAGTGGTAGCTCTATTCTTGCGATTTAACTGCATCGATATCTCCCTAAAAATATCATGGTCGGAACTGAGCTCGTAACCAGGCCGCGCAATAAAAATTCGTTAGATCTCTCATATAAGATACATTTTTATGCCACTTTCGGGCATGCGTGCGTAGATATAAAATGTTTCCGCGGAGCGCGTAATATCTTATATCGGTTGCACTTAGATGCTCGATTTAACTGAAGTGCAAGCACGCATAATAAAGAGTAACTCGCTCTCTCTTTCCGCATCCAAGCGAATATTATATAAATCACGCTGATAAAGGCGGGAAAAGTAAACACGCTCTCGTAATAACGCGATAATTAGATTTATTTGGAGAAGTCGAGACGTCCTTGCATAAAGTGGAATAATGGAAAATAGAAAATAGAGTCGGGGCAACAACAGAGAATCGCGATACTACGTGAAATACTGCGCCATTTCTATCGAGATCGGAACTGATTCTTCCTCTACCGTGGATAGTTATATTACCCAAATCGAACGCGGGGTGGTCGAGAGTTAAGGTTCGCCGCGTGCCTCGAATTTCAACGAGCAGCCCCCGCGAGTATCTCTCTCTCTCTCGATCCTCCGAAATAAAATCACTGCGCGTTACCGCCGTTAACGATCCAGATAGAATATCGAGGATCGCGTAACCACGCGCCGGTTATGTACCTCGGCACGGTCGCAATTTGTAGTAACTGTTTCTCTCGGAGCGGAATAATTTTTTTTTCCTTTCGCAGATGCACATTTATTAGCGCGACCGTGCGCGTCGATGTGGACGCGCGGAAAATATATAGCAACGTCCGCAAATAATACCATATGCCGCGTCTTATAATTCTGCGCGGACGAACGATTACAATGAGAATGAACGGGACGGATAATTCATGAGAGAAATAAAAATAGACGATCCTAGAGATCATATATACAGTTTCCGCGCGTTGCTCGTAAAGCTACGAACCAAGAGAAATAAACTTTCAAATGACATCGTTCATCCTTCTTGGTGCGCATTTGGAGCAAGTATCCACGTGTCAGTTTCATAATCTATGAATTTTTGAAAATAACGCCAATAAAAATTTATAAAAAATATTAATATAATACCAAGATATATTATTGATTTTTATATAGGTTAAAGTTTGAACTTCCTATATAATATAGATGCTTTTATTATTAAATAAATATTAAATAAATAAAATATTAAATAAAAAATATATTATTAAATATGTTATTAAATATAATGTTTTATATAGGAATATGTGTGGTTGTTTTATCATCTAATTTATAAATATACATATTTTAGCATTTTTTTAAAAATTAATAATCTTGACCAAATAATTTTGACAATCTTACTATTTCGATAACTAATTAAAGACTAGTTTGGCACCTCGTGCACCGCTCTAGGCAGCTGCATTTCTAAACAGTTATCTCGCTTTCGATCGCACGTTCGAATGAGAGCTAAATAATCCCGGACGAAATTACTTCTGATATGTACGTCCGAAGCCATCGGTCGCTTATACACGCCGTGGGCCGATACAAATTGCCTCCTCCGCCCACTCGGGTACCGTCCTTAATCGCGGCAACCAGATCAATCATTCGGCGCGATCTCGCGCGATAATTAATATCCAGGCGTCGCGATTTACGCGACGTAACAATCGCGGCTGCGACGGAGGGGGAGGTCGAAGACGGACCCCCTGGCGCAGCGAGGGCATCACATCCGCGAGATCCGGTCGCGTGGCTCTATTAAAAGCATCGCGTTTAAGTGACGCCGGTAACGGAGAGCGAGGCGGCGAGCATCGTCGGCGCTAACGAGCGCGCTCTAACAAGGTACTCGCCGCCCACGCGGTTTTCAGGCTTTCAGGCCTCGTCGCCCGACTCCCACGGTGCAGCATCGACGTGGCGCCACGCCACGCTCTTTTTTACGAAGCACGATTGTTGTGACAAAACTGTAAATTGAATATCGATCGCGTGTGCCCGTAACTTACATGTTCGGTACGTTTCTGTGCCATGTCACCGGTCGTTAAGCCTGCGCGTCTAGAAAATGAGTTCCCGTGACTAGGTAATGCGGGACGATTTGGTGTCAATCGTGCAAGATAGTGATACGAGACAATAAAGGGGAAGTTTTGACATAAAGAAATTTGGGGCATTTTGGGGAAATCGAAAATTTGTGCTGCTGCATCTCTCTTTCTCTCTCTCTCTCTCACACTCATATCTTACCTTAATTAATTTTGTTTTCAAAGATCACCTGCATATAATCACTAAACTCACACGTTCACATAAAAAAAAAGAAAACGAAAAATAGCGTGTACGCTATTCTTCCTATGATTTCGACAATTTTTTTATGACACCAAGACTCCACTTGATTACGCAAAAAACGGATTTGAAAAATGGCACGCCAAAAGATACGAGGAGAATTATTGTTGACTTGGTAGGGCTTCGACGACGAAGGAGACAAAATCGCGGCGTATAAGTAGAGAAGCTGATTGTTTTCGTGCTAGGCGCGTATTTCAGGCCGCTGTCACCTGCAGACACGCTATCGCGACGAAATACTAGGTTCGCGGAGCAAATTATGCTCCGCACTGGCGACGGAACAGGATAGGATCGATATACGAATGACGATTGACCTCGATCGAAGGCTATAAAACTCACCGCCACCGTTCGCGCGCGTGATACAAACATACCCATAATTTTAAACGAAATTGCTGCTCATTACGCGTTATTACCAGTCCCGGGGAACAGTCATACTTTTCAATTAACCGACATCGTTTTTTGTCGCGCGGCAAAACTTCGACCTACATAACTGTTCGTCATCCCGCGTTCGCGAGATGCGCAAAACATCGAATTGATCGCTCATTTTTAATAACGCGCACACTGAGTGACGACGAGCGCGCAAAAGTATCGTTACACGCGCGTCAAATGATTTTACGTATAGCTCGCGGTTTGTAACAGCATAAAGTTGCGGTCAAATAAGTTAACAACAATCATAGTCGAGAATAATCGACGCCATTAACGATATTATGCATTAATTAAAATCGCCAACGAACAAATGAGTATCATTTACCGTGCGTATTATCAGCATTTAATTATTATTAAATGATTTAATAATCGATTGTATTTTAAATACTGTTACTAATTTGCAGCGAAATCAGTCTATCGAAATGTTGCAATATATATTCGCTTTCTTACACATGCAATTAAAAAAAAATTTTCCATTCTTTCATCCATTCTTTCTTCTACATAATATTATACGTATGTATCTCTTCTATCGAAATATCTTTTTTTATGATCGTTATTACGTCGTTTCATTATTAATTCTTAATATCTATTCGTCATTACTATTTTTTTATTTTTGAGATTAATTCAATACTATACTTTTTAAAAAATTTTTTTTCTATAAATACGCAGCAATATTTTTGATTCAGTAAAAATATCAATATATATATATAGTTTTGACTTGGTCACTTGTAAGATCTATATATTAGCAAGACCACAACCACACAATTATTACGGTCTAGTTGGCAGGATCAAATCACAAATGATCAAACGTGTCACTCACTGTGCATATCGTTGGCGTCTGTCCATGGACTTTGTTGCTATTGGAAGGAAGCTCCGGCCCTTTCGGAACGTCCAGATGTGTCCGAGATAGTAGAGACGACGAAGTAGAAACGTTACTCGAATTTGGAACGTGAGTCGTCGGTAGTGGCGTGCCAAGCGGAAGATCCGGACGGAAAAACCACGTAGGCCACTGTAAAAAAAGAGGAAGCCATTTTTATATTTAAACTATTTGGTTTTCTTGCATATTCATTATTTATTTGTGATGACGTAAATATGCATTTTCTATAAACGTCTTCATTTTGTGATTATAAATATTTTTCTTCTCTTTTTTTCTAAATTTAAAATATATTTTCCATTAACAAGAAATGTGTATGAGACATTAATTTTTATAAATCTCAATTTTATAACAAAATATTTTTATTACTTAAGAGAATTAATAATAATCATTACTAATTAATTTATTAATTAATTTAATTATATATATGTATTTTTATCGCGTCAAAGTAAAGCTTTTCTAACAGATTACAATATAAATTTTTTTCCGCATAATATATTTAAGAATTAATTTATGGCAATTTTCTTTGTTGATATACAATTAAATATGAGTTTACTTAAATATGTAATCTGATGGACTATACCAAGGCATTAACTTTTATTTGCCTGATGACGATCTATAATTAGATAATAAACTAAATTATACGTTAGATGTAGACAGAGAAATTTATTTGCGAAGAATGAGAAAGATATTTTTAACGATTTACGACTCGGAAACAGTTATTGCAAAGAAATGAAATTATAAAAAAGATTTCTTTATATTCAAATTATCCACAAAAAAGACAATTCGAGTAACTCCTTAAAAATTTAATTCTACGACACAGGAAAAATGTTATCCTATTCTGCTTGTGAATAACCGCTCGTCATAAATATCTAAACCGAGATCTCGAGCACAATAGAGAGGTTAATAAGCGAGCTCATCCGTTTCATCGTTTATTACTTCGCGATGCAACCTAAGGGCCCTACCGTCCTTTCGGCGGATAAACGTCCCGCTCTAAGCGGAGCATTTGAGTGTCGCCGCGACTGAATATGAGCAGCTTCCTAAGATAGATGACATAAGTCTCTGACCCTATAAGAAGCGCACTCGCCGAGCGCGAGGTCGTCGCGCGTGTGGTCCGTTGAAAGTGTTCTTGCGGAGGAGCCGGCTCCGCTGGGAAAGAGAGAAAAGGAGGCTCTCTCGCGCCGCTACTCGCGGCGCGTCCCGTTCACCGCGATACATAAGGACTTTTTGATCGCCCTCGTCGGGGCCGCGACACGAATTCCACGCGATTAATCGCGGCCGCGTGCGCGATTCGTTCCGCCTGTGTACGTCCTGTAAAAACAGCCTCGCTACCAGACTTATCACTCGTCGTAACGCCGTTCTGTCGCCAATTTTTGCGAACGTTCTTTTCTCTCATCTTCACCTTGCCGCGCTGCACCTCGAAGATAAACGAGTAATCTCCGTTAAAACATAAAGGATATTAATAATCTTGCGGTCAAAATTCAATTGTTCATCAATCGTGATTATGTATGTAACGTATTCCTCGTTGGATCTCTGTGTATACCGTAGAAAATCTTACATCACGCCCGTGTGTTTTAGTTATTTTCGTGCCAGAAGGTTTGGCATCAGCACCATCAGCCGCTATTGGTCACGACGCAGTGTGGAAAGTTGGTAACAGGCGGGGTGGGACACGGGAGGTAGAAGGAAATGATTTCAGGGTGGTCTGGCGAATGTCTCTTGTCGTTGGCTCGCGGGAGTTAACGCCAAAACCGAAATAACAAACTCCTAAAGTCCGTGAGTTAACGCGCTACTTCGCGCCCAACTTTTCACGCACGTGATATTTTCTGTTTATCGCAACGGTAGCCCGCAACCATGGAAATAATTCGACATCGATCAACTCGATATCAGCGTGGATTTTATCTTAAATTCTCTCAAATCCAAGTATCGATCCTCAAATTTCTAAAATAACTTATGACGTGTTTGGCAAAACACTAAATTACGGTCTGTCTTCTCCTGCATGTCTTTCCGCCATTATTGTTAACACATATTTTTCAAAAAATTAAAATACTAATTTAATTTAATATTAAAATATATTAAAAATAATAATTAAAATATTAATTAAATATTAAAATATTAATTTTAAAAAACGTTTCGATTAAAATTAAGCGAGACAAACTTTTTTAAGATTCAATTGTCAAAATATCTAATATGCACAATTATTTTAATAACTATGAAAAGTAATTACACATTTTTTGTTTATTTATCGAGAATTTTTGAAAAGAAAAACCCAACTGTAAATATATCGTAAAAGCTGTGGTTAAAAGTATTCAATGACTCTGGAAACATAAGTATTAGAGAGTCGAGATGTATTTTATCTCGCCGGCGTATACGATGCGAAGTATTATCACCATTTTTTTCGCGCTAGCATGAGAGTAGCAATGGTATTCACGCGAGCAAGCCGCGTGTAATATCGGGCGGACTATTTTTATACGAGGCATGGGGATGTGCTCTCGAAAAACGCGGCGCGGTATTCTCCAAATTCCACGCTGGCGAATCATCGTTCGGACTGGCCATGCGCTATAATATCCGCCCGAATATTCCATTTTTAGACGAGAATATCAGAAAAAAATTTCGTCATCGCGGAAGAAGCTATTCTACATTAATGCGATTAAATTAGATATTTTCGAGAAAATATAATGCGTCCAATTTTCTGTCGATCATTCTATAAATTTATAAATTTTATATAATTTTTAAATAGAGAGAGCTGTAGAAGATCCTACAGAAATGAATATTTTTATTTGAAAATATCACGTAAGTTTATGTTTCCCATATAGGATACTTATTACTACAAGTATTACGACATTATTTTATGTGTGAAAAGTTGAAGCTATCTATGAGACACATGATAAGTGCAATTGATCAATCTGCTTAATCGCGCGAGACTGAAGACGGTGTGTACTTTTTATACGGTGAACGAAAAAGTTCCCACAATCACGAAATGTCACACGTTCGATTCGTGACATGGAACATGACTCTCTCTTTCTCTCTCTAATCATCAGGAATTTCTTGCAACTGGAAGAAGCAAGAAGCGAGAAACCGGGACTCCTTCAATCGGCTGTTGAAAAAAATGTCTTGTTACACCGTACAAAAAATTACATTAATTTGAGCTTACGTCATATAGTTTCACTATACACACGTGTTTCGAAAAAAAGATGCCAAAGCAGATTGAGTAACTATTGTAATAGTTACGACTGACAATCACGTGTAATATGATGCAATGTTTGCGGATGAATTTGTGACTCGAAACGCCGCAAACTTGTTTCTAATTTCTAATTCAGTTCATTCCGCAATATAATAAACGGCAGTGACGCGAAACTTTTTGCGGTCGTCGCGCGAAATGATTTCCGAATGTCTTTGTCGTGTATCTCGCGCTCAAATGAAATAAACATCGTACACCTGTGCGTTTTCTCTCGCAGTCTAGATCACGAAATACCACGAATAGTAAACTCCACGACAAAAAATACATCAACTAAGTAATGTATTTTTCGAGAGTATTTTTCGGTTATGCTGTCACGCAAAGATTAATATTCATTTAATCTTGATATCTGAATTTTCTCTACAAAAAAAAATACTTCCACTAGAAATATGTAGATTAATCATTTGTTAAGAAAATGAAATATCTACTAAAAATTAATTAATCATTAAATTAGAATATTTATTTAATGATATAAAAATTCACGAAATAATAAATTTCACGACAAAAACATATTAATCATCGTAATCATGTTTTGAAAATGTCTCGGTTACATTGTTACGTAAAGTTAATATTCAATTTTATCCTTAACGTTCGAATCTTTCCCACAAAAACAAATGCCTCCACCGGAGGCAAATCAATTATTTGTTGAAAAAATGGATCTATATCTATCAAAAATAAATGAATCATTGTAGAGAATCTTTATTAACGATAAAAATTCGCGAATGTAACTTTAAGCGTATCGAGAGGCCTTGCGCGGCAATTTATCAGAATTTCACGCGAGCCGCGCGCCGCGAGAGGATCGCTTTGCGATTTTCCACGGTTACTCGGGAAGTGACATTATTCGCGCTGTGCGTCGAGCGGCCGGGGCCGCGAAGATGAACGGCTCGAAATTTCCAGACCCCGAAGGCCGCTACTCGCGTAATGACGAAGTGAGGTCGGTCCAGCGAGGTAAACACGAGTCGAACCGCTTCATTAACGAGCGGCCCGGAAGAAAGCTCGTCGACCGACTGCGTGTATTTATACGTTTAACGCGCGCGTGTAATATATACAAGCATATTGCGCATATATTACGTTACGAGTGGCGTAATATACGAACGCAATCTCTCCGTGGACAATGACGACGACGATGGTCGTGCGGATAATGACCGCCATCGTTAAAACGTCGTACTGCAAAAATGACGAATTTATACCTTCCTGAAATTCTCGTACCCGCCGACATTGGCCTCTCGAGGACATGACGCTGATTCGTGTCTAAATTATAGAGAATTAACGATCCCCGAAGTAGCGGAGCTTATTTAAAGCGTTTATTTTTAATAGAATTTCGATGATGTTTCTCGGAAAATTACGAAATATGCTCCACAGAGGCGATTTAAAGATAGATATCTCAAGTATTTCAAGTATTTTATAGACAATTTTAAGGAAAATCAGCAACTCTCGCACAAAGCGCACATATCCTCCTTTCTTTTACCTCACGGAGTATAGTCAATCTCATGTTTCCGGGATGCGCAACGTGACATATCGTGCGGTTCGAAGGAAATCTCAACGTCATACTCGATACTTTGAAGTAGAGTTGCACAAGACTCAAGACAAAACAATATTCGTAAAAATATTGTGTTGGTATTGAACAATTTTGTTTTGGTTTTGAGTGAATCTTTGTAAAATTTTGTTTTGAATTTATTAACAATTTTTATTTAATATTGAACAATTATTTAACGTAATCTTTATAATTTAAGATAATTATTTTTTTATGTTGCTCATTTACTTCCCAAACACGATATATATGGTATATATGCACAGTTTTATGTAGCTAAATAATTGAAATTTTATTGTTTATTACAATAATTGCTTTTAAATTTAATATACATCTCTAATAGTTTCTAAATTTAATATAAATATTTTT